ATTTCTTAATGTTTGTTCTCTTACCCTTAATGCACTCAATGCAGACTTCAAAATCTGCTAAATCTAAGGGTTCAAGAATTCCATCAGACACAAGCCTCTGAATTCTCTGTTTGGAGATATGTCCTAAGCGCTTGTGCCATAAAGCAACGGAATTCTCATTAAATTTTCGCTTTGTACCTCGTGAACTTATTTGGAGGATTTCATTATGGGAACTAATCACATCAAGCATGTATAGATTATCAATCAATGGACCGGGTACCAATCAAGACTGAATTTTGTGAGAGACTAAATTTATTATCTCCAAATGAACAAGAATAACCTGATTTGTCCAAACATGGAATCGAAATTAAATTCCGTCGAAATGACGACACCACAAAAGTCTCAAACAAATCCAAATGGCATCCAGTCTTTAATTGTAATCTAAAAGTTCCGATAGCCTCCACTGCAACTTTATTGACGTCCCCCACATAGATGAACTTTTCGTTCTTACTTGGTGGCCGGCTCCACAGGCAGCCCTGCAAAGATACACTTATGTGAGTGGTAGCACCAGAATCCACCCACCAAGTATCCATAGGCACAAAAGCTAAATTAACTTCAGAACAAACTAAAGTAAGAAGCTCACCCTTCTTTTCACGCCAAACGGCATACTTGGGACACTCCTTCTTCATGTGCCCAGTCTTCTTACAGAAGTAGCAAGGAAACCCCTCAGTTTGCATCTTTGGTTTCTTTTGCTGAGAAGACTTTTCTGCAACATCCCTAGCTCTCTTCTTGATTTTGTTTTGAGAACTTGATGCTAAGTGAGCACTCTCAGTCCTATCCCGCGCTTGCCTCTCTTCCTCTTGCACACAGTGAGATATAAGCTCATTGAGAGACCACTTGTCTTTCTGAGTGTTATAGCTCACTTTGAATTGCCCAAAGTGTACAGGGAGAGAGATCAAAACCAAGTGTACGAGCAAATCTTCAGAGACTTGAGTTTTGATGCGAGATTAGACATCTCCATAATGTACTCCCTTATGTTCCCCTTGCCTTTATACTTCATGGAAACGAGCTTAGACAAAAGGTTACTTGCCTCTGATTTTTCATTCTTGGCAAAGTATTGCTCAATTTCCTCAAGGAACCCCTTAGCGCTCTCATTCTCAGTCATAGAGCCCCGAAACGCTTCTGGAATAGAGCGCTTCATGATCATCATACACATACGATTAGAGCGATCCCACTTTTCTATTTTAACCTCATTAAGGTTATCCGGAGTAGAAACAGGACGCTCCAACCGCTGTGCAAGATCCAAATCCATACAACCGAGAACAATTTCTATGGTTTCTTTCCAGATCTTAAAGTTTGTCCCATTCAATAGTGGAATATTGCTAATTTGAGCAGAAACATTGGAAGCAGAAGCTAAAGACACTGTAAAACAAACAAGAAAACATGCACTCATGTCAAACAAAATACATGAGAAGAAAATTCAGACATTTAAGTTTTATTTTTGAAACCCATCTTAAGATACCAAATGCAACATTAACACTTAGTCTTTGGACAGAGAAATTAACTGCGAGCGGTACTCTTACTAAAATGATCAAATACTGATAATGAGTTCTGTCAAATAATAGTTTATCTTTGGACCAACTATCATTCACATGAAAATAAACTTAACAATCATCACGTATTTATCATTAAAGTGCATCATCATTTGGCCAAATAGTATCTACCTTTGGGCCGAACACTATCCGCATAAACAACCACACACTATACATCCAAGTAATTTAATTTGATCAATTTTTACACTAGAGGTTACTTTGGCAACATAACGTAAAGAATCAAATCAATTTAAAAGTACTGGACCAATTGATTGATTACGTAAACCATGTGCGTTCAAAAACAATATATATACATTCCCAAAATACGCACACAGTAAATCAATCAACCAATTATAAAATAACCCAAACTGAAGCAATTAAAACCCGATGGAGAGGGAATGAAAAAGAGCGTAATAATTTCCGTAGAGCCGTAACCGGCACCAAACTTTAATTCCAACCTTACGCTGCCAAATATATTATTATTCCACTGAATTCCCCATCTTTATTACCCTAACTGCATTTTGTAATAACCGATCAAACGCAGCACTACTGTAATAATTGCCTTTTCCTTTTGTAATTAATTAGAGCAGCCGACCAATCTGTAATAACTGATCAAACCCCAACAGCCGGTTAATTTCAGGAAATCGCCGGCCGGCCCTCTTCTCGAAAAAAAAAATCCTCTCCCGGCCAAACCTTAATGCCCTAACGCAAGACCCCCAGAACGTGAAATAAACATGCAATAGTGCATGATTTCTATGGAATTAACGAAAGACAAAAGATGGCCAATGCCATTGCCACTCGAGGAAGTAAAAAAAACAAAAGAATGGACTCTTTCAATTTTCCATTCACAAGAAATATAAGCACGCATGGCTTTAAACAACAATACCACGAATGGAACGAACATAGAATCATGCAAGGACTCAGTATTGAAACTTGACACAGTAGCATGCAGGGTACTGGATTGCATAAAAATTGAGCATCATCAGAGGACTATACCGAAACCCCAATAATCTAACAAAGATAACCAGCTCTGATACCACATGTTGGAATTAATCGAGATATGTAATTCCTCGGAAGACATCTTGTCAGATTATCAAAGGCGAATAGATCTAAATACCTGGATTCATGATGGTAGATTGTCGTGAGCTTGATGCGGAATCTGTAGAACGATCTTGAACCGGACGATACCTCAGAAGCACGATCCGGGAAGTTTAGTGGCCTTCCTCAACCAAGCCTCCTTAGTCCACTCACGGGAAACCTCACGTATTCCTGATGGGGAGAATATGTGTGTATTTTTGGTCTTGGTGTCTTGGGACCACAACCTCTAGGTTCTTTATATACTATGTTTAGCTAGGGTTCCCATAAAACCCTAATTAGGTTTAGTATCTGGTTTCCACTCATTGGGCCCATATCAGGTATTGAGTAGTCTTGGGCTCCATAATTTGACCACTTATAATTAGCCCACTTTAACAAATAACTAATACAATTATCCATAAACCACAGCCCACATCACGTGGAACATATATTTCCAACACATCTCTCCTCTATCCGTCGATGCTGACAAATCCGAGCGGCCGCGAGACTCTCTGTTGTCATTGCCACTGAAGCTGTTCAATCTAGGGTTTCAATCGATGAGGAATATACGCGGCGGAGGAAACAAAATTGGAGCAAGCTTTCACCCTTCACTTCGTGCTCTCTCTCTCTCTCTTCCCTTCTATCTCTTTCTCCCTAGACTTTTCTCCTCTGCCTCACGATCTCAGTGAGAGTCGAATTAAATCAATTGAAAAAAAATGATTAATTTATTCTTTTATTTTTAAATAAAAGAAAAAGAAAAATGAAATGAGTTGTGGGCCTTTGTTGTTACCTGCAGCTAGCAGCCCACCTTTAATTACATTACGACGCTCATATCGTCCGTCCGCTTGTCCATTAACAATTGTTAGATACAGACGGTCGGAGGAGACTGTCGGTAGGTGACCGTCGCAATTACTTGCTTTTCTTGTAGTGACAAATAAAACTAATACCAGCTTAATTATCGGTAAGTGATTTAATCGAAATAAATAAATAAATAATTTCCCCAAAGATATCAAGACTAAAAATTCGCATCTATTACAAATACCAAATATAACAGGAAGATTGAAAATCTTCGACTCAAAAAATAAAAAACCTAGATTAAGAAAACTTATAAACCTCCTGAATTGTGTCTCGACCATAGAACCATCCTATTATAAAAACATAGTTTTAGTGTATTCATTAAAAGGTTATTTTGCAAATAACCCAAACTTTATGGGTAAGAGTTGATCAAGTGGGACCCATTGAACAATTAACCTCTTCTTTCCCCTACATCATCCCCTCTTTTCGTAATTAACCCCATTTTTCTTTTATTAATTTTATTGGCAATATTTAAATGCTTTTTATTTCTTTTATTTACCATTTTGTATTCTTATTGTCATGAAATCCACCATTTTGTTCGTATTTGATATTTTTCAAGACTCGAGCTCAAATAGAAGAACAACGAGAAATTTCTCATTTTCAATTTTGACTCAAAATAATTAGTAATACCATTTTGTATTTTTATTGTGTTGAAATTCACCACTTTGTTCGCATTTGATTTTGAATCCTCGCGCATTTCTCAATGCTCGAGCTCAAATAGAAAGACAACGGAAAATTTCTCATTCTCGATTTTGACTAAAAATAATTAGTGATTTGCTAGATTTGAGTACACGCACAAAGTGGGAGAATCGAGTTGCTACAATAGTATTGATTGAAGAGCAAGTGAATAACACTAATGTAGTCTCAGAGATTCTAATCAAGTCCCACAACCAAAAAAGATTTTCGAGTTTTTTTGTTCCCCCAATAGGTACCTATTTATTAGCCAGCAAGTCCATCTTTTATTGTTTGTTTCAAATTATTGCAAGATGTGTTCCCTCTATTAGTATTCTGCTGCTTAGATGTTCCAATTCGTGGAGCCTCTTATCATGTTTGATTTTACCAAATGTTACTTTTTCCATCCCATAGAGCTAGGTTTACCGTATTTTCAATTTGTATTCCTAACAAGTTAATTAATTCACATATATCTTTTTACATTTCGCTTCATGCGCGGCTTATCTAATTGATATTAAACTAAGAACCGATTAACCATCAGATGATCGTGATTAGTGGTGTACCATGAAGTACCCTCCAGATAACAACCACCACCACCACCTTAATCAAACACATTGTTTAATCACCAGATCACATCCTTTTTCTTTACGTGTAACCTCATCTTATATATATACTATAATAATTTTACCAATTAACTTTTTGTGAAGGTAGCCAAATCCCCAATTCGAGGCATTTTTAGGCTCCTGTTTCTGCTTGCAAATCCCAGGGTTTTGCTCAATGATGTCGGCCAATAACAGTAGTTAACAGAAACGCCACACACTTTTTTTTATGTCCCCATTTCCTTGATTTAATAATAATTACAGTAATTAAAACATCATCAGCAACTCCACTGTTACAGTATCAGAGGCAAAACCTGAGCTTATCCTAGCTAGCTAACTTCTAACTGAGTTCGGCTGTCTTAATTTAGTGTGTAACAGAGCATACAAAATTCAATAATTAATTTCAGGATTTAAATAATAATATAATTAATTTCTAAGGCCCAGTCGGGAAGGATTTGTTATGGATTGGACGTCTTTTTTTGACGTGGGAATAATCCATGGTGAAAAACCCTTGGTCCTCTGTTCTTGATTCCTCCTTTCCTTTCTTCTCGTTGTATAGTTTTCCTGGGAACCAAACAGAAATCACAGTATTCAATTAGTTCATATGATAAGGAAATGACTGGAAACTATTTATTTGAACCTATCACCATAACGAAGGCTAGCTTCCCGCCACTAGGCCAAGGGTTCAACCCGTACAAATAAGTATTTGAATTTCTCTCGATGTAACAGTTTAGATTTCAATTTTCGACGTACAAATTAGACAACCTTTTTGTTACATAAACAAAAAAAATGCAGGTATCAGAACACACCTGATATCGACGACGATGCATGGTCTTTTTTTGGCTCATTAGGATCAGGAGTTGAAACCTGATGATGGCCTACAATGTCGTTTCGATGAACTTGAATCTATTTTTCGTTCAACCAAAGAAAGAAAGAAAGAAAGAAAGGGAAAAAACTCGCCAAGTCAGCAACGACGTCGTGATGGAGTACAAAACTGCAAATCAGCAGCTGACACTGTAACAAAAATTCATGTAGGAATATCAACACACTTTCATATGAACTTACAGTTACAGCTGCTGCAACTTCCTCTACTACTCTGAGCTTCCTTGGCAACAACAATGGCGAAACCACATCACCACTTTGATGGCAAGCAGAAGCAGCAGATGGAATGAGGATTGATAAGAAGAAACAAGCCCATGTAACAGTGACCATAATAACTGTATTACAAAGCTCCATATATTACTAGAACTCAAAACACTTTGATGACACACGGAGATCGAGAGGATGTCTGGTTCGATATCTGTATCTACTTATAGTTGGCGACTGCTGCAATGGTTAAATTAAAGGGAACGTGAGAGAGAATTGAAGAGATGGGTTTTTTTCTTCTTTTCTTCCCAAAGCACAAAACACGAAATGAAGAGTTCCAAAACAACAAGCAAGGGCATGGGAATGCTTAACGATATATACAAACTTTTTCTGCCTAGCCCTAGCTAATTCACACACACACACAGTTTGGGCATTTTGGCTTTTTTTAGGGTTTGGTTTTGTCACCGACAACGTACATGCATATGTATTTGTATTTGTAGGGTAGTCCCGAGGTTGTTTTTTGGTGTTGTTAATACCAACACAAAGACATTGCTTACCAAGAAAAAGGGGATTTGGTTGTTCAGCATTGAACAATGATCCACCACAAATCCTTCCATGTCCCCATGATGGACAGAAGCCATAGAGGAGTACATATATAACGTACTTTTGGAGATATATGGGATATTAGGATGGATGGTTTTGGATTTTGAAACCATGGTTGGGGAACTTTTGGAGGAGATTGACTAAGGAAAAATAAAAGAGGTGGAATGATTACATTACCTATGTGTAAGATTTACATGATTTGAAAACGTATCGTGTCTGTAAAATTAATTTGTTGTTTTGTATCATTTACAATTTAGGTGCATGTTTAAAATCCAAAGAGTTCAAGATGGTTGGTTTTGCTTGTTTAATTAAAGAGATGAAGCTTTGTGAAATATTTATAAGTTTGAAAAGTAAGGAATTCATGAAATACAAGATTTCTTTTCATCAACAAAAAAAAAAAGTACCATGATGGTTGAATGATGGAGAATATACTACATTGATAGACAGTAATAGAGTGTCGTATGATTGGTCCAAAAAACTCTTGGTCTCGTATAATTAGTAAATCAACATGGAATAGTTTTTCCTGTGCAATTTTTCTACATATGAGTTAGGGCCAAGGAGGTGTGCAGTTTTAGTGGGTGGAAGAAAATGGTATAATTGGTTGAAATTGTTTTCATGAAATATATAAAAAATGACAATAATTTTTTAAATCACGACGAGTTTGTTTTTTATTACAATTTTTTTTTTTTATTACGTTAAAAGGAAGGAGATACAAATCGATTAGAAAAAGTAAGGAATTAGAAAATTAATTTAATTTCAACCCTCAGATCTTAACTCATTCAAAATCTAGAGTGATCGGATATGCTTATACACAAATACATAAATTTTTTTATAAGGATAATATAGATTTACTTTTTACAGACATGTACTATTTAAAAAATCCGAATAAATCATTTATCCTGGTTTGCCAATGGAAGGCCTCTGGTGGTTTCATTTCATGACTAAATTAGGCTTTCTGTATCCATAGAAACAATGATGCAATTTATGATCTGTCACGCTTTAGATGTTTGGTGGTACACGGCAGGCACTACCCGTTCAAATTGTGTGCATTTCTTAATTTATCAAAGCTTTAACCTCTTATAGACCAAATTGCACAACCATTTCTCATTCACGTTAACGACTTTCTTAAATGGTAAAAAAGATATACATACTCTTAAAATATGCGTGACGAAGTTGTACTAGCATTTTTCTTCCGCAACTCCTAACAAATATGACATACTTTAAATGGATTTTCATTCGAGCTCGACACATTTATAAAACAAATAGGAATTCAGATACGTACTCATTTCGATCTTCATAGAAGGAATGTTACCGTTAATGTGAAAAAAAAAATGAAATAAAATTGCTACCGAATTCGTTTCTCCACCTCTTACAACGTTAACATAACAAAAAATACGAACATGAAACCAAAATGAATAAACATGTTATTTAATTCAATATCTCTTATCTCTGTCACGGGCTTAGAGTAATGCTGAAAAAAATGTAAACATAAACAAAATCTCTTAAAATCCTGGAGAAGGAAACAACCAAGATATGATATTTGTGTTAACTCTATATGGGATTAGCATCATGCTAACCACGACTTGTAATAGTCTGCTTTAGAGTTGTACTACTACAACTAAGGTTGTCAAACCTGGATCCGATCTACCGGTTCAATCGAGTCTGACTGGAACTAATCATCTAAATTGTTGGAAACTTGGAATAGACTGTGGTTGGACGATTCTGAAAAAGTCAAAACCGGGTTGAACCATTCGAAATCGGGTGGTCCGACCAGTCAAGACCGAATTTGAAGATGATGATTGATAATTTTTAATATATAATTCTTCTTAAGAAATAATTTTATAATATATGAATGTAGATTAGAGAGATTGTTTAAACTGTCAGATATATGAAGATCTATTTGGTATTAGAGATTTTCGTTAAAACCGACTTAAACTGATTGAACACTATCCGACTATTAAAACTCAAATCACCTAAACAAGTTTAATAGCTTAATCCATTTTGACTACCTTGACTACCACCATAAAAAATCTGAATTGCTATTTATAGCCCTAATTTTTTGTTATTTGTAGTCATAGGAGAATGTAATTACTATTCACCCTTCCTTCCTTTTAAAATATTGAACTTGTTACAACTCCAACCAAACACTCCCTTCTCTCCCAATTCAACTGTCGCCGGATTCCTCCCAAATATTGTCGCCGGCGACGACGACCTCTCGCCGGCGACGACGACCTCTCGCCGGAGACGTGACTCGCCCCTTCTCTCCCGTCGTCGGTTTCCTCTCAAATACGACGACCACCTCTCCCAGAGACGATGACCTCTTGCCGGAGACGAAATCAGAGCGCTTGCCGGAGGTAATGTTTGATTTTGCACGAAGGAGGTGACGACCGGCCGTTTGACCCGCCGCCGGCAAGGGCGACGTCCAATCGAGGCGTCGGCGGCGAGGGACCGGACGTTTGTCCCTCGCTGGCGACGCCTGGGCCGGACGTCGCCCTCACCGATGACGGTCAAACGGCTGTCAACTATCGTTTTTTTTATTTTTTTCGTATAATTTAATTTAGGTTAATTAGCTGTTCTAATGATTATGATTTAACGTAGGTTAATTATCTACTTTAAATTAATTTAAAAATTACTTTAATTATCTCCTTTAATTATGTACGTTAATTATATGCTTTAATTATTATGATTTAATGTAAGTTAATTATCTGCCTTAAATCAATTTAAAAAGTTACTTTAATTATCTCCTTTAATTATGTAGGTTAATTACTCTAATTATCTGCTTAAATTATGTAGGTTAATTATCTATTTTAAATATGTTAATATTTAATATATACGAAAATTATGTCGGTTAATGTTTTCATATAATTGAAATTAGATAGGAAAGGTAAATTTTAATTGATAAATATAAGAAAGTTTAATAATTTAAATATAGAATTTTATTTTATGAAAAGTATTCATTGTTGTACGAAACTTAAATATAAATTGACAATTTAAGCAAGAAAATTAAGTTAGAATTTATCGTGAAATACATTACAATTTTGAACATTATGTTGTGATGGGAATTTTATTATAATTGAAATTATATACGAATGTTAAATTATAATAGACAATTTAAGCAAGAAAATTAAGTTAGAATTTATCGTGAAATACATTATAATTTTGAACGTTATATTGTGCTGGGAATTTTATTGTAATTGAAATTATATACGAATGTTAAATTACAATAGAGAAATATACGAACCTTGAACATTTGAATATAAAAATTTATTATATGAGAACTAGCAATTATCATATGAACATTGCTAATATGAACATTGCTAATAACTATTACATGATGATAATAATCTGACAATAATTTTAATTCAAATTTTAATAGGTAGAAAATGGTGGATACAAGAAGAAAGAAGAAGATGAAGGAGGTAGAGCCGTCGAGGGTGACCAACCGTATAGTATTGAGGTCGCGTCGTGAGGAAGCCGAGAATGAGCGTCGACGTGCTAGACTTGTGGAGAATCCTTCTCCCCCGCCTCCCATGCCTTTTGACTTAGATAGAGCTTTTGAGGGAGTAGATGAGTATGAAGGCAGTGATGACAATTATGATGACTTCCCGGATGTAAATGATGCTTTCTTCGAGAGCAACCATCCGAGTGCAGGTGGTTCTAGTGGACCTAGATTAGAGCCCGAGGCTCCTTTTGTGTCTTCTTCGTCCTCTCAGTTTGTTCATGTTAGACGTGGGCCTCGTGGTCGTTTTGAGTCATCATGACCCGATTCGGAGGAGGGCAGCACTAGTAAGAGGAAGAAGGCGAGAGAAGCTGATTCGTGGATTCTCGACAGGAGTGGGCCGGGGGGGGCCTATCGATCATAGCCTGATTCCTAGTTTTGGAGGTCATGTGGCTTATAGATTATGGGATGATAGTTTAGGGACGCGCCGAATGGATTCATTCAAGTTGTCGACTAGAGCATTGGCAGTCAATTATTTGAAAGATTACAAATTTCAGAGTGAGGGTGCTACAACATTGGTTGAGAGGACAGGGTTGCGCAAGTTGTTGGACTGCTCGATCCAGCACTTGGACGGACCTTTACTTGTGGCGTTTGTGGAGAGGTGGCAGCCTGACACCAACACCTTTCACATGCCTTTTGGAGAGATGACCATCACGCTCCACGACGTTGCAGTGTTGCTTGCGATTCCAGTCGGTGGAGATATGGTTGTAGGGAATGAGAGTTTGAAAGCACAGTTATGTGAGATGCTGAGAGTCGAACAATTGAATGAACGATCCAAGCCTTCGCTTATGAGTGGGGGTTTGGTGTGTGTTGAAGCTATGCAGCAGGTTGGGTGGTTTCGAGAAAGAGATTCTAAGGTACGGGTGTTCTTGACCTGTTTGTTAGGGACCACCTTGTTTGTGGACAGGAGTGGGGATCGGGCGCAGGTTTGGCCTCTCCAGTTCTTGGGGGACACTAGACGTGTGAGAAAATATTCTTGGGGGTCTGCTACACTCGCCTATTTGTATAGGCAACTCGTCATGGCGTCTCGAGCGGACTGCAAAGGCATGGGTGGCTGTTTGGCCCTCCTTCAGAGCTGGATCTAAGAGTACTTCCCGCGTTTACGAGATTAGAAGTTGGGGACACGTGGATTGGTGTGCGGGGAACCTTTTGCTAAGAAGTGGGAGGGGTGAGATTTGGAGGTGGGGCACAGTTGATGAATGAGAGGTTGGATCACTATCGTCGAGTACTGGATAATATGACAGATGAGTTCATTTTTTGGTGCCCATTCGGCCTCAAACCTGGTGAGATGGTCTCTCGTTCTTTGTACTCTGGTGACATCTGTGCATGAGTGTTGAGGAGATGTACGATCCCTCGCGTTGCCTCCGTCAGTTTGGGTATGTACAGACCTTCCCCTCAGATCCGCTTCCTCCAGTTGATGTTTGCCGATCTGTGAATGTCAAGATGTACTCCTTGTCCTACGGTCCCGGCTTGAGTGAGCTTTGGAAGGCCCCTCACTGCCACTCGGTGCAGTTGGATTCGATATCGAGACCTGTTCAAAAATCGAAAGATACCGACGATGGGTATCTATAGTGGTATATGGGACGTACCCACCCGAGGATCGTCTGCTCAAGTGCTGCGGACCAGGAGATACACCACCATCTTAGTCATGATCAGGTAAGTTTAATTATGTTATTGATATTGCTATTATGTACAAGCTTAAATATTGCATTAGTTATCGTATAACATACTAACATTTACATTTTTATACAGTTAGCTGTGAAGCTCGTCCGAGAGTTTCGCACCGTGATTGAGCACCCTTATGATGACCACCTTGATCTTCTTCTTGGATTACAAGGGTTGCTTAGAGAGTACGACGAGGAGACTCCATACCAGCCTCCACCTCAGTACTAGTGTTGTTCATGTAGTTTGAGTACCATGTAGTTTATTTGTAATTTGAGAACTATGTCGTTAATTTGGTGTTTGAGAACTATGTCGTTTATTTCTAGTTTGAGAACTAAATTGTTTATTTGTTGTTGGAGGACTATGTCGTTTATTTGTAGTTTGAGAACTATGTTGTTTACTTGTTGTTTGAGGACTAGTGTCGTTCATTTGATACTTTATTTGTATGTTTAGAACTATGGTAGTTTTAATTTAAAACTATGTTTACCAAAGACTACAAATATAAAGATAAGATGAGTTACAAAATACTCCTTATTTACGACTATTATCGTTATATACCAATACTACTACAAATATCTCCTACTAGTCATGATGACCCCCAAGTGCGAAGTAAAGATCTCGCTCGTCCTTGAACAACTGCTCCCACCCTTGAGTACTCATTTTGTCAAGGAAATGGGTCCACAGGAAGGTGAATGGAGGCATTGGTATTGAATCCTCCTCAAAGTCAAGGCGCACCCAATGGTTGCCGGTGTTACACAACACCAACACATTGCTAGGGCGAGCTACCCCTGGCTTGGCTATCATAGGTAAAAAGGTTTGTCCAAATGGAACATGTCTCCTCACCCCATCTTTGGTTTCGTCTATTTGACTGTAGAGGATTATGGCCCAGTTAAATAATGTTGCAACTATGGCGAGATCCGACTCAGTCATCCAATGATCCATTGTAGTACCCTCTGACTTGTTCCACTGTAATCGTGTAAGAGCAAGACCCACATCTTCATATGCGTACTCACATTGTTGGATCCACATGACTTCATCTATAATAGTCTTTCTCACCACAAGTGGTGATCCTCATCTCCATGAAGTGCATGTGAAAGAGCTCGAAATCTGCAATGTCCATCAGGAGCAGGGTCCCACCAACCAAGACATCGATCTCTGACACTTTCTGGGGCGATGAAGCGAAAGTAAGGAAAAACATTCACTCCATCAATCTTGTGCATGGGATCCCTTTTCGGGCCACCTGTGGATGTAGTGTTTTTTAGTTATCTTATTGGCATATTAAACATACTTATTGAATATCAATGAATTTAACAAAACAACTCAAATTATTCAATACAAACCTGTAACATCTAAGGTTGTTGCTTTTCTCTTTTTGTGATGGTAGCATCCTTCAGGGCACCTGTTAGTGAAAATTTTGTTGTAATTAACTTATTGGCATATTAAACATACTTATTGAATATCAATGAATTTAACAAAACAACTCAAATTATTCAATACAAACCTGTATCATCTGAGGTTGTTGCTTTTCTCTTTGTGCGGATGGGGCACCCTTCGGGGCACCTGTTGGTGAAAATTTTGTTATAATTAGCTTATTCTTTAAAACATAAAAAGTGGGTACGCTTTACCACCCACAATTTTTTTACTACTGTTTCATTATTTGTCGTCTTGCGGAAAGTTGGGTGGGTTTGTGTTCGCGGTGGGGTGGTTGGCAGCGGCGGACGGATAGGCGACGCTTGGGTCGGAATGGAAACAGATCCTGCAATCACCCACTTTAATCGACACAGTAGTTTCCGTACGCGAGTGCATACTTCCTGCTTCAAACCTTGCACTGAAACGTGTTCTTTTGGTCTTCGCGTCGCTTCGTCATGCTGCTTTCCCGGAATCGCCCATCTACCACCCATAAACTATTGCGCCTCGGCTCAACACGGCAGTGGCAAATAGTTGTCCTTCCTCTACCTACTACCCTTTATGCAGTGGAGAAGGAGATTGGTCCGGCCCTTTTCTCTTCAGTTTCTCTTTGCCTCATCTTTGTTGTCGGTTTCCTCTGTTCTTGCATATCCTCTTCTCCCTAATTCACTTCAATGAAATACATCCTCTCCAAGCTCATGTGGACGGACAAAGATCCCTTGGTGAAATTACGCCTCCTCCATACATTGATGGCGGGGAACCCAGCGCGACCGGATGGATTCTCCGAAAACACCACTCTCTGGACGGATGAGTTGGTTGGTTGCCTGATTCCTCTTATTCCTTCCTTCGTCTGCTGTTTGCTTTAGGTTCCTCATTTTTTGCCTCTTTTCGCAGGGTGTTTGGTCCAGGGTCTTGCATCTAAGCAGCTGTGTGGTCAATTGCAAGAGGTTCTTGATTTGGGGAAGGTCTATTTTGTAAGCCAGTGTGAGTCCAGGAAACACTGGTCGGTGTGTTCCAATGACCTCATGTTGTATTTCAATTCCAAAACTTCCTTCGTCCACTCTCCTGAAGACGATCATACCTTCTATCCTGATAGCTTTGAGATCCGCCGCTTTGAGGACCTCGAGAAAATCGTCACAGTACATTGCTCTGTTGTGGGTTGGTGTTCTATTCGTGAATCTGCCCTGCTAAACGTTCACACTATGCATGCTGAAGAAATTCTCTTTTCCATAGATGTTGTGGGGCGGTTGGTGTCTGCAACGCCTGTTAGCTATTTCCAGAAGCAAGAGCGTTCCATCAAGCGGCAAGTTGTGGTCATTGATATTGAAAGGTATTTCGCACTTCCCTTTTTGGTCTCCCTCGCCTGCTTTGTTCTACCGAATTCCTCTTTCAGCCTTCCAAGTGTCTCTTCTGTTGCCGGGAAAGCCTCCCTATCAATCACATTATGGTCCGACTTTGCCGAAAGAGTGAACTTCCCTAAACTCATTGAGCTCAATGGCACAACACCTGTGATTGTGGCATTCACCAGTCTTAGTCTGGCTAATTGGCGTGGAACGTTTACTTTGACGTGGACTCTGTTCAGTGCTATGTGCCTGGAAGTCAATTGAACTTGGTAAATGATCTCTTATTCATTGAGCTCAATATTATTACTGCTGCTTTTTATTTGTTGGTTGGCCATAACTGTTCCGTTCCCCCTTCTTTAGTTCTCGTTTTGTGGTTTGTATTTGTGTATTTCATTATTCTCCTTTTTTTTTCTTTGGCCAAGTTAGATGGAGCTTCAGTAATACTGTTGTTTGGTATTTTTTTCATCTGTATATAACCTTCTGGTATGCGATCATCAACTTATATTGGCCTTTATTTTATACAAATCAGTTAAACATTAATGCAAGGACTCGAGGAGTTGGAGACATTTCACTTTTGATTTAGCAACAATGTTACTGATTGTTCACTCTTCAACCAATGGTTTCACAACTTGCAATCTGAGACTGGTTTTGGCTTAGTAAAAATGTCCTTCAGGTCAGCCAGTTCTGAATTTTACTCATTTTGATGTACAGCGCTTCGAAAGCTACAGGTAGCTTTTGTTTGGACATGAAATTTGAGTCCTTTTTTCTCTTTATGAGTGCTCCGTTGTCGGATCAAGCATCTCAAGAAGTTTACAAGATCTAAATTCATATCCATTAGTGAATCCGAAGCTAGCTGTACCTCATTTGGGTTTTCTGTTGTTGAGCTGTTTCTCATCCTAGATAAGCCATATTGGCTTCCATAATGCTTTGTTGGTAAAATTTTGCTTTCGTAGTTCTATATGTTAACATTTGCAGGTCATGCATGTGCTTTTGACAACCAGGTGTATATGTTCTAGGCTAATTTATCATAACTATATGGCTTCCTATGTATCAATCAATGCACCAATGGATTTTCACCTTGGTGGTCGTACTTTTGATGTTTCCCTACTAGCAATTGAAAAGGGTATCTCTGTAGTGAAGGCAACTGTTGGAGACACTCACCTTGGTGGTGAGGATTTTGACAACAGATTGGTAAACCATTTTGTCCAGGAGTTCAAGAGGAAGACCAAGGAGAGTATTTTTTTTAATTTCTTTGTTTTTTCCCCCACATAGATATGATCCAATTCAGGTTACACTTTCTTGAATTCTACATAACTTCTTACTCATTTATCTGTTTGATTCTTTAGGTCAAGACTTTTGCCTTGGACACTCAATTGAAGCTTAAGGATCTAGATCAGAGCAGTAGGTAGCTACATGTGGTTAACGGAACAATTTTTAGCTTGGGTGTATCTTTGGCCAAATTATTATCAAGTAGCCTAAACTAGCTACTATCGCTAATCCTTGCTTTATCTCTGGCTTATCAATGTGGAAAACTAACTAATCGATCATGCTTTGATGTTTTTGCTTTCTCGAAATCATGAACTTTTCTTGAATAGGATACCTATTAGTGCTTTATACAATGCATTTATAGTTTTACTTAAATTGCTTCATTCGCTTGCAAGGACAAACACTTTCAGACAGCTGAGTTTGAGCCTCAACTGAAATTCAAAGTTCAATGGAATTTCGACAGTTTTGAATTATATCATTTGGTGGCCAAGACTGTATGGAGTGTTTAATATAGTGACAAATACCAGAAGCTGCAGGGGGTTTCGTATGCAGCCCTCAAAAGGAAAAATAATATATTTGTAAGAGTGCAGAAAGCAGATGTTTGGGAGATATTTCCAGGATCAAGAGACTTACTATTGGACTGAAGATCATTTGATGCCTTTATCCTCTCTTGATAAGCTGCTGCTACCATTCTGCATTTCGTGGTGGAAATGGAGTAACATGTGCAGTAACATATGGAGATCTGTTGAGTGGATCTTCTTAGTGTGAAGAAGGCAGGAATTTGAATGTACGACGGTTATAGAGCATGGGCAGGAGGCTGAGCTTGCATTTCTTTTGATGTTTTTCTTCCTTCACTATTTTGCTGCTACCTCTTAGCAGTCTGATTATAGTTAGCATTTAGAAACTCTTCAGTCTTTTTGGTTTCCTAACAATCTTCTATATCACCATTAATACAAAGGACCAACACTTTCAATATTATTCACTTCTGTAGAACTATATTGTATAGGTTTGCCATTGAGTGTTTAGTAGTAGCAGGTGGTGTGCAGCCTAAAGAAACTTTGCTTAAAGCACACCATCAAGTTTAATGCATCATTTGAACTAAATTCTGTCCATGAAATTCCTCTGCGGGGCTTATGAATTTACAATCCTCAACTTATCATCCAATGTTCATTAGGTCTTCTTGCTGTATTGTTTATCACTACGAAGGTGAGTAGTTTACAAAGTGATTCATTAGTTATTAGTCATTATTTTGCTAACAATATGATAGTGCTTTGTTGACCAAAATTATTAATCAATGTGCTTTTTTTAACACGTGCATCAAATTATAGTTTTATGCTTATACCAAGCTATATTCCTGAGCATTTGCCTACTGCCACAGAACTTGAATCATAGCTAAGGAGATCAGATCAGAAGATGAAAGAACAGCCATAACAATAAGATTAAAACATTGGAGAAGCAAGACCAAATCATTGGACTTGAAGGTCAATTAAAAGTTCAATTGACTGATTGTGCCCTCTGCTAATCATGTCCTGCGGCGTAGCCGCGGGTATTATTTCTAGTTAGCCTATTAAAAAATAACTACTGCAATTGCAAAATACTAGCTACAACTATAATTGAGTCAGAGTTGTAGTCCGGCCACTGAAAAAAACGACTATGTTTCTACTTAGAATGGTGCTAATCATCGGAAGCTAAACCCGTCCCGTAACTGGAATTCTCAACGACCACGCTCATGGCACTTTGTACATCTCTTTCCTCGTTCATTTCTGCCGACCACTGTTTTGTACTACACACATACTGTCGGTAACAGAAGTAAGACCCCATTGATTCTCCCCATATAACATTTGTTGGGCTCTTTTCTTTTACTGCCTTGGTACGCTAATCTTTTTAGGTAAAGCTTCAAGTCAAGTGCCAATATCATAGTTTTCTTCGAACCAAAAGAAGAAGATGGGCCAGGGTCCAATTATCAGTCCCTGCCATTGCCTTGCATGCATCTGTGCCACTAATGAAGCCATGACCTTACATTCCCCTGAAAAGCTTCAACAAAACACAATATTCTCCAGTTCCCACAAGAATCAATCAATCTCGTCAAACTCTTCACCACAATAAACTCAGCACCACCAAAGAATTACAGAGATAACAATGGTGGTGGTTTCACACATCAACTCCACCGGGGACTGGCAAAAACCAGGAAAGATGTATACTTTTTTCTTCATTTCTTTCCATTACTACCTCTAGATGATGATCTGTAATACTTGATAATTGTATGTATAATCATAACGATAATCATAATAATATATCTCACGCCTCTAAATCTAATATCGACAGAGTAGGTGGGGGGAGCAACAAGCCCTTTCAGAATTTACAGCAGAGTAACCCCTGCCTCCAGGGTCTGTGCTTCCTGAAATGTCTCCTGTCAGCTTTCGCCATCCTCACCGGACTGCTGTTCCATTCATTTTGCAATCTATGCATTAAAAACAAAAGCAAACATTGGTTTCAAGTGTTGAGCATGGTGAACTTTGCAAAACTGTTAGATGTTTAAAGAGCGGGAGAGAGAGACAGAGAGGGTGCTTACACTGGGAAAGCAAAAGAGCGTGTACTGGTGGCGCTGCTGTCTGATCTCATCGAGATACTTCCCGAATAAGGAACTGGTTCAGAGCCAACCATGGTGAAGCTAGACTCTCCTTGATTATACTGAAGGCGATTGGAATTGGGTTGTGAATCAGTACCTCCAATCCGGGGAGAGATTAGTGTTTTGACAAGGTCAGAATCGTCACTGGAAAGGAGCTTCTCCTTTTCAGACTGGGGAGTAATAACGGGTGCTGCTGCATTTCTGGCCCTGCCCTCGAAAGATAAGCGGCCCACAACATCGTCAGCCAGTTCATCAGAGACTGAATCCAAACTGTGTCTTTCATGTTCCTCATTCTCTTGGACTGATGACCCTTTAGGAGACTCGGATTTAGTAGAAGCAGGGGTGGTGGCCGTAGTAACTCCCTCTTGTTTATCTTGTTTTGAAACAGAAATCATGGAAGGGTCCACCGAGCTTGCTCCCATGCTGTCATTCTCATGTCCTTCATAGGTGGCTGCAGAGGCTTGATTTTCATCTGGCATCTGCATAATATAGTACTTAAAATGGTAAGTCCTCCCAAAAACTGCAAAGGTAAATCCTTCCTTTCTTTTTCTCTATTCAAGATCAACCAAAGCTTTGCTATTTCACGCAATTAATTTGATCAATGCCAGGCCATAGAAGTCCATATTGGGACTTAGATTTTAGAGTCGGTCAACAAAAACAACTTCTTTGTAGCAGTAGCTTCTTTTGTTATTTCAGCGGAGTTCAACAAAATCATGGCTTGTTTAGAGCAGTTGAACATCCATGAGCTTTTTAACATAATCCTAAAACAGCTGTGACTAAGATAAAAACATAGAACTTACCTTTGAAGCATCTAGTGAGTTTGAAGAATTTTCCCCTGGTTCTGGAAGGGCAAGCAAATCTCCAAGAGAAAGGCTCCTTTTCAGTGCATTAGAATTATCAGATGCTTCTTTCTCCTCTACTTCCTTGTTTTGCATTGACCGCTCCGAATGAAACTCGACATTTACAAATCCCATATCTTTTGCGTCTTTGAATTCTATTGACGGAAGGTCCTCATCTTCTGGTCCAGCAACAGAAGATTTCGGCACAGATATTACTTCAACAGGTTCTTTCAACACCTCAACACATGCCACAGCTTTTTCAGGAGGCAAGAATGTTGACAGATACCCTTCATCCATACTCATGTCGAACAAGAACTTATCCTGCAATGGCACCCCTTCATCAATGCAGATGTCCTTCACCGCATGGTTCGAGTTGTCTTCGTAACAAACCATCAATTCGGGCATCTCATCGGTATTCTGTAATGGCTCAACCACAAATCTTCTCAACTCCACGTCACCATTATCTGGTGATGAATCGTCCAGATTTTCACTGTATTCATCATGTCTTCTGGAGTCTATTTTGGCAACTTCATCACTAGTCTTCTTGTATAGGATTTGATCAACATAGTCTTCCCTCAGTTTCGTATCACGTGGTAGACCTTTCTGGTCCTCCTTCAGAGTATTCTCTCCAGATTTAAGACCGAGAGACCCCAGATGATTATTGATGTATTCAAAAGCTTCAGTACCAGACTTATGACCTTGTTTACCCTCTGAAATGTTTAAAAATGAAAGCACAAAGACATGATAAGGAAACACCGAGCATGACAACAACTCAGATAGAACAATGAACTCCAAAGGTTGATAAACAAAGAACTCAAACGATTGACAATTCTTCAAATTGCATAAGACATTAATAATAGCTTGAGAGATGGAATGATTGAACATATTACAAACACAAAGAACATATTGCAGTTACCGAGTTTCATATTTCAACAGATATCAGACTGTAGAAACTTGAGGAGAACGCCACGCTATGAACTTTCCTGCCCAGAAAGCAACGTGATTAGTTATATAAAAAGCAGTTGCAATCATCAGGAGACAAATTAAGAGCAATTTACAGAACTCAATGACAAAGAGTTGAAGTAAGGGACATTGAGTTTGACATGTAAAATCAAATCACCCCAAAGAAGGTTAAGAATCCTAGGCTGACTACTAACTGAATATCCCCTAAGAAACCTCCAAGCATAGGAACATGACAGTGACAAGCAACGACCCCTAAAACAAATGAGTAGAAACAAGTTCAAGAATTATCCTATTAGGGATTGTAGAAAAGGAAGATGGGATTAATGAAAGGAATCAACCAAGCTGCAACAGGATGGATGATCATATAAGATCATTTCCTCAAAATCTCTGACCTTCCTTTTCCTAGCAGAGGACGGAAACATAAGAATAGAATGGAAAAGAGGATTCAGCAGACAAAATGTCAAAGATGGAAGATGAGACAATTTCTCACGATGAAGAAGAATTTAAAGAAGAGATTAAAGAAAAGACAAAAGTTTTGAACTTCTCTAAAGACTCTGGAGTCTGGAGCCTCTAACAAACCAACAACACCACCCCCAATTTTTTACAGCTAAAAAAGTCAATAAAGACAAAATTGAAATAGTAGTAGATGGCCCCCTGCTTTTGCCTTTTTGCATCAAAACCGAAAACCCTTTCTGGATGCTTGCTAAACTGAAAACTCTGAGTAGATCTAAACCTATGGCAATGAATTTCAGTTCCATAAGTCATGATTGAGGATTTGGGAAAACAAAGGTAATCAACCATGACAAACTCACTCACTGATGGGGTTTTCAGGTTTCCAATCAAAGTCTCCATGGACCAGAAAAGAGGAATTCAGTAAAAACCAAAATGGAGGAATATAAATGATCTGCAATCAGATCCCAAAGACAATAAACAAAGGACCATAGAATGGAACAGAATCACCAAAACAAACAAAACAAGAAAGTAATACACTTAAATAGTGAAATATACCTTTTCATCTACCAAATCAGCTTCCTTCGCTAACTGTCAGGCACTCATTCACACAAAAACCCCTGCAGAGAACAGAAGAAACAAAGATAAAGTTTGACACCAAAAAGAAACCAAAGTAGTGTAAGGAACAGGATTCCAGCTGAACCATCTAAAGCAAAGTAACTCATACTCCTGGCCAGCAAAAGGAATCCAAAGAAGGATTAAGAACAGGAAGAAGAAGAAGCAGAACAGGCAGAAGAAGAGAGAAAGAGAGGGTTGAAAACCTCTTAACAAGTGGAAGCCAATAGAGAGAGAAGGGAGGAGACATTCCATAGGAGGATGAAGTATTAAGTTAAGAAAGTATTTAATAAAACATGACAGCAACAATAAAGAAGGAGTGATGGATAGGAAGTGTGAGGAGCAATAAATGGAGGCAGAAACACAAGACAGAGACAGAGGCTGATGGAAAGGCAAGGCTGGGAGGAGGGCAAGTCCCAAAACCAAAGGATGAAGTAAAATTAAGTAAACATGTGAATATGAATATGATATATAGCAACAGGCCTGCAAATCTCTTTAAAAAAATTTAAAGCAAGTAATCTGAAACCCTAATTTAAAGGGTCAACTATCCATCCCTCCTTCCTCTCATCTCCATCCATCCATCCTCCCAACTACAACCATCCTCCATTCACACACAAACCACACAAATGACTAAACATTTCTCTCTCTACAATTAATACCCCAACCAAAGGAGGAAGTAATAGCAGCAACCAGCTAGCAGAACAGAGCACAGCACGGTACAGCAAAGCTAAGTTAAGCAAAGGGAAAAGCTGTGGGATCAGATCACCCAGCCTTTCACTGTCTCTCCATATGAGTATTTTCCTTGTCTATTTATTTTATTTCAAATTCGTTCCTGCCAATGGATGAATCACAGCCATCAGAACCCCAATACATGTCATTAATTAGACTGAATTTTCAAGCATTCATTGCTGCTGCCTAACCAATACCAACAACTACAGCAAATGAACTTCTCCCAAATTGGACCCTGAATTGAAAGAACCAACAAACAAACTCCACAAAACTCCCTTCTGGGTAATGGTAATAAACTAAAAGTAATAAAGTTCAGAAATAGATAAACAATTCACTTCTCCCGCGTTCCTTCCACACTACCCAATTCCCCAGAACCGAAGCAAATAGAAGTATAGAACTCTCGAATCCTTCACCCCTTAAACATCAATCCCAAGCGAAAAAAGAAACGGAGCTCGGCCCGATGTTGTAATTAAACCAGTTAGTCGGTTACCTCAACCTTCGTCTCCTCAACTGCCCCCACCGATGCCGCTGCTCTGCTACCAAAGAACTTATTTTTACCCTTCGAACTCCCCTGCTGAAATACGATCAAGAGAACCCAGAACGGAATTCCCCTCCGATTCCTGATTCTGATTGTACGTATGATCGTCGGAAACAGAGTAAGGGACGCCGCCTAAAGAAAAAAGAGACAGACACCGGAAGAAGATTTAGGCGGCGGGAGAAAGAAGGGAAGAAGAAGGGGACAAAGGAAATCTGCGTGAGAGGGAGAGAGAGAGAGAGAGAGAGAGAGGGAATTGGAAGTAGGGGAATTTTGTTTTGGTAGTCTGCGGTTGGCGCCGCATTGATAAGAGTATGCAGTCTGCTATGACACAAAAAGATTTATTGTTGAGCAGTTTCTTCTTCCATTTTCTTTCTTTCCCCTTTTTTGTTTTTGAGCTGGCTTTGGTTTATTTTCACAGCTTTTCGCCTTTTCCTAATGGATAATTACTCAAAGGTCTCTGAATTTCAGGGTTTCCAACAACTTGGTCCCTTTAACTTTTATGTTTAATGAATTGGACACCAGATTTCGGAATAATTAACAAAATGTTCGCTTGTCTATGATAAGTATAAAATTTTCATCGAAAGCATCCCGAGCAGTATGAGCTTTCACCCAGATAATTGACAGGCTTCCTAAATCTCTCTTATTAGCTATTGGTTACATATAGAAGGAAATGGGAACGTGGTCTTAGTAGATATGGTATCATGAGAATTGTATTGTGATCTATATATGGGACTCAATACAAGCGGAAGTTGGTTGTACGTCTTCTTAATGATACTGTTTGAAGAAGCAGAAAGCAACATCATTTAGTGCCTCTCTTTGTGTACAAATACATTAGAACTAGTATTCATACTCCTTTTAGATTGAATATACTTGTAGTATGTAATCTCATTTATTGAACTATCAATTTCTGCCCATTTTAGCTTTTTTGTGTCCAAAACCTCTTATGGTATCATAGCTTGTGACATGCCTTTAAGGATTCCTAATCACATTCTTCATCTTGGCATTGGTGATTCCCTCTTCTTCCTCTACTCAACGATACAAACTTCGATAGATTCTCTCTTTTCCTCGCCACAAATCATCTTCCTGTAGTTAACCCAAACGAATCCCTTGTCATTCCTTGAAAACTCACTCCCAAGAACTATCATCCCTAGTGTCGCACTATTCGAATGATGCTTCGGAGTTGCAACAAGCTAGGGTTTATCAACAAAACTCTACCCCCTCCTTCTCAAACAAACCCAACTTTATGCTCTCCATTAAGGCTTGCTTTTGGTGATTGATTACTATACAAAATTGAAGAAACATGGGATGATCTTGCATCATCGCATCAAAATTCATTGGCGTGGCCGACTTCCCACATCGATCAGGTGGTGTGGATCTCCCAAGTGCCTACCAAAGTCACTTCCTTTTCCTTTGGCTTGTCACACATATATAGGCGGATCCTCACTCATAAAAATCTGAAGAAGAAAGGCTGAAATATTGTGAGTAGGTGTGTTTTATGTGAAAATGCAGAAGAGAGCATAGACCTCTTGTTTTGCAGATGTGATTACGGCCGCAACATTTGGTATCTCTTAAAAAAGTTTACAAATGCGGTTGCCTTTTCCTTCTACTGACGCAACAACATGGTGACCTTTGTCATATATACCTTTTGCCAACAATCGTTGTCCTATCACAATTGCATATGACATCTCGTAGTGTATTAGTCTATAAATGAAAAATAAGAGTCAAACTTCTTCTCTTTAATTACAAACCTTATGTTCCATGATTCATAGACTACTTAAAAAACTCTATCAAGTTATGCACAGAAAATCATGTGGCTAATTTAATCACGAAAGCTCTTAGCCATCATCATATCAACTACTTCTAACCCAAGTTGGGTGTAAAAATTTTGTACTCGCCAACTTAAAAGAGGAGGCTATCATGAGAATGGTATTGTGGTCTACGATCTCGATACAAGCATCAGCAAGCTGTAAGCTTTTTTAATGATACTTCTTGAAGAAGCTTGAAGCGTCGGTCTCTCTCTTGTACATATGCATTAGAATTGGTATTCATATTCATTTTAGACTAGATATACCTGCATTGTATATATATATATATATAATTTTTAGCACATAATGACGATTTTTTATGGATTTACACAAATAATCGACGATTTAACTACCAAAAATAGGTGATTAACAATTCATGAATAAGATTCCACCTTTCATTGCAATCAAAATACAATTACGGTCACAAGGACATGCAATGAAATCAAAAATTGAAATCAATTTAGCACAACATTCTGTAAATTCATGAAGAAAATATTTCATTAGATTCTTAAAAGACACTAAAAACAATTACTTATTTAACCTTTTTCTAATGATGACGGTTTAGCTTCAAAAAATGAAGAATACATAATATATGGATTAGATCAACATTTTCTTGCATCATATTCAAATGTTATTAAGTTTACCATAATGATGAGGGAGTTTTCTTGCTATATTTCTTGCATCAAATGTAATTAAGATTACAATAATGATGAGGGGTTAAAATTAAAATTTTAAATTGAAGTATGAATAACGATGAGGATGTAAGGAGGAAGTGCACTTGAAATCAGGAAAATTAAAGGAGTAAAAAATTACAATATTGTTGGAACAAACCCTGCCCAATTTGCATTTTATGCCGCAAGAAACCAACATCCCAGCCAGTTGGACTAGTTGTCAATTAAGTATCATACTTGATATTTTTGATTATTTAAAATCTTAGGGGGACTATGGGTCCCCTGCCAGCAAGCTGGCTCCGTCCCTGATCACATAATTAAGAGTTATCGACTTCTCTGCATTTGAGCTTCTATGTCCAAAACATCTTATGTAGTTTGAAATATGTTGAGGGGATCAGTTTGACTTGATCAAATGTACCATGAACCGTTTTTTATCTCAAGTTATTAGGGTACAAGTGGTCTCTTTTATTATTAATTTGAGTCTTGACATATCATTATGGATAATTGGATATGGACAAGGAACCCCGGTGGAGATAGATAAAATTATGTTTATGCTGCTAGGTGTTCCAAATTGGACTATTGGAGTGACAAGTATATTATACGAAGAAGGAAAAATACTAAGTCTAGAGACTGATTTGAAATGATCCCAAAATGCAGGGATCATTATGTAAAAGTCATCCCATATGTTTGAATTCATTCTACGAGTAGGGCTCACGATGTTGTTGTTGTTTTGTGTTCTCTTTCCTTCCTTGCAGGAGCGGACACGTAGCAGAGTGTAAAAGTATTTACCAGGCTCCCATCTTTGATTTGTTACAATTTGTTTGGACGATGATTTTGGATGATACTATATTTGGGTGGAATTTCGTGGATTTGGATAAGCTTGTTTGGTTTATGGTTGGATGTTGGATTGGAATGATAGATTTTTATTTTCGAATATCAGCAACTATATATATGGAATGATAGATTTTCGAATATCAGCAACTATATATATATATATAGTTTAATCTTCTTTTAATTTTGTTGTGAGATTTCACGTTTTTATCAATACTTTTCTCTTTTTTATAACGGTGGTTGTATTAAGAAGAAAATCAGTCCAATAATAGTTAGTAAATATACGCGTATATGTATTTGTACGCATTTTATGCGTTTAAAACTTTCGTATCCGCACAGTATTATTGTCAAGCCGTTTAATTTTCTTCCATTCATTTGATGGCTCACGTACTAAACACGTATAAAACCCGTATAACACGTTTAATATTTGTATTTAATGAATTAAAATGTTAACTTTACTATTGTTTATATATTTATTTATTTTTAAAATAATTAATTTTATATATTTATGACTATTAACGTACTATTGAATGTAGGGGAGCTGACTTATGGACTATGAGGGTACCTTCGTCGAGTTCCTGGCCCTGGAAACGTATTTTGAAGTTGCGATTTGTGTTTCGGCCTTACATGGCTATGCAGGGATTGGACGGTCTGTGGAATGGGAAGAAGATGGATGTGTACTCGGCCAGTACAGTGTGGAACGCTATTCGCACACCTTGCAATAAGGTTAGCTGGTTTAAATTGTTGTGGGGAAAGTATAATGTCCCAAGATGGAGCATGATTGCTTGGATTATGGTTCTTGATGCAAGTGTGACGAGGGAGAAACTGCAGTGGGGAAATGTTATGGATGCTACTTGTGTAGCAGAGGGATTGATTCTGGGGATCATCAATTTTTTGAGTGTGATTTCTCGAAGGAAATCTGTGGTAGATGGGGACTGTTGTTTGGTAGCAGTTCTTGGGATAGAAGGCTTGCAGCAGCAGGGAAATAGCAGCAAAAAACTCAGCGTTGGGTAGATGTATTGGCCTGGTTTGGTGCTCACTGATTTCGTTTATATGGTAGGAACGATGTCGGCGATGTCATGACGAGATCCCAAGGAGTGCTGAAGAAGTGGGGAAGTTATGGAATAGAGACCTGCTCTTTGCACTTCCATACTATCCCGTTTTGATGTCTGATTGGGTCAGTGTTGCTTAGTCTTTTGTAGTAGGTGGGAGTTGTAAAGGTTGAAGTTGTTTTTCGTTTCATTGTTGTCCTACAGGGTGTCCCAGCTTGGGATGTCCTCTTCGTTGTATCAGTGTGACAGATTATTTGATCCTAGCACATCTCATCTTATCAATAAAAAGGGGGAAACTGATTCAACGAAGAAAAAAAGTAAAATATTTGTACGTATTATATAAGTAACGTTTCCATATCGTATTTTACTACCTATTGACAAATACAAGGGTTCAAAAGAACTGAACCAAAAAGCAGCGAACAATAAGGGGGGAAAAGAAAGACACAATAAAGACTAGGGATGACAATGGGTCGGGTTGGATCGGGTTTTGCCAAACCCAAACTCAAACTCATGGGTTTATCCGTAAACCCAGGGTAAAACCCAACCCAACCTGCTGGGTATCCGCTGGTTCATGGGTACCCATAAGTTTTTGTCGTAAAAAATTTACAATAACAAGTACCTATCAAAATAAAAGTCAAATATCAATCTCTCAATACAAATTATCCATATATAAAACACAATTCTAGAAAATACAAGCAAATAACAAATTAACCATACAAATTATTCAACACCAATCTAGTAAACTCAAGAAAATTGAAGCAAATCACAAATTATCCATAAACAACATGATTAACTGAAAGCTGCTTCCTCTTTGTCAATTCAGCTTCTTCACTCTGCACTCGATAATATCAACTTCATTCTACACAATTAAAAAGAAAAAATTAGACATGTCTCGACAAATATAAATACGATTTGTTGCTTAGAATATTAAATATACCAGTAAAATTAATTATACGTTGTGGGCGGGTATTCATGTGACAGATATACCTAACCCAAACCCAACCGGATGAATAGAAAGTGGATTTAAATCCGAATCCAACCCAAAACCCTTCAACACTAGTTTTACTCGCGTTGACTGCGTTTAGTCGGATAGGGTACTTGTTAGTTTCAGGTTTTGTTGCCATAGACCATAGACCACCCTTCTTACAGGGGGTGAGGGGGGCACAGAGGAAAGAAGGACAGTCTACCCGCACTGATATTCATGCAAAAAATAACCTCGAGCAGTCTAAAATTTCAGCTGACTTTGCCACCTTCATGAATCATGCGAAAAGTAAGAAACATGAGTGGCAAATCGGTTGTTAATAATAGTGCAGTTCAAAGTCATGACTC